TTTGTTGCATAAGAGTCATCAACAGATGATTTTCAGTTCTGAACTCATCAGCGTAAAGTCTGTTCAGGAAGCTGGAAGAAGTAAATTAATTCATGTTGATGACTGCAGAAATTTTCTTAATAACATTTAATTTACATGGTGACGGATGACTGTAGAGTAATTTTATAGGTTAAGTACAACTGAAATGATGGAAGTGCTTATTTAATCATTTTGATAGAGATAAATCTTAAGCTGAATTTATCAACATTTTATTTGAAGTGTTTAAAATGAGTGATCTTCTGGTTTGAGATTCTGAGAGTCTTGCTCGCCCTTGATTTATACATAAATACGATAAAATCAAGGGTATTTAAGTGGGACTCGAACTCATACCTTTTATAAAGAATTATAAACGAGAATTTGAGTCGTCTCATTGATATCTGACAAAAATAAAATACATTTCAATGTCTGAAGCAAAGTTCAAGCTTTTTGTTAAAAACGACCACAAGCTTTAAATCCTTTGAGTCTCTTGAAGTCATCTTCGATGCTCTCGGTAATAATGGAACTAAGTTCAATGCTCGATAGACAGCTAAATGCAAGAAATTAATGAATATCATTAATGAATGAAAAAGCACCAATTTCCAATTGATTTTTGATCAAAACTCACAGATCTCCTTCGTTAGTATCCCCCCCCCCCCTTTCTTCTTACAATATTGTTTAAAACTACAAATTTGAGTGATTTAAAGAAGCTTTAAAAATTGAAAGCAATTGAAAGTGTAAGAGTCTTCATAATATTAAAAGAAGCATCTTTACAAAAACTCTCATCTGATCTTAATGCATCTAAAATAAAAGCAAAGTATCTCTTCATCCATTTATGTACAGTGCACTAGCTTACTTATTTAAATGAAAATGTTACATCACTCAAAAAAGAAGTCAAAAGGTGCAAGAAACCTCTTTCACATCAATATTAAGCACTCAAGCATTTTATACCATCCATTCATATATCGTCATGTGTATAGATCGATTTAATCGACTTTAAAAGCATGCAAAATGAAAATGAAGAAGAATGTATCCGTTGGTATTATGTGAGTGCATAAAAGAAAAAAAAAATCCTTTTCATATAATGAATATTTGAGGCTCATTCAAAGCTTTTTCTTCCAGCTTCTCACATTCACTCACTGCCTTTTCTTTTCTTTTCATAGAAATACTGCTAAAAAGCATGACACAAAGCAACAAGTTTTTTTTTTTATTTTAAAAACATCCTTTCTCTTGATGCTGATTTTTCTTTTCTTTTTTTGAAAAGATTTTCAGTCGATGCAAGTGAGATGTTGGCATGAATGACAATTCGTGACGCATTTGATGTTTGTGCTTTTGGTAAATAAAGTATTTATGAAAGGATGAAATGTTTCTTTAGGGATTTGAATGAATATTGTGACAATTGACAGAACATGAAAAATATAATGCTGATGTGGATGCCAAAAATATTTTTTTTAAAATTAAATTGGCACAAATAAGGCATTGATCAATACATGTTTTTATAAATGATTAAGGATATTCATTATTTCGGTTCATTTATGGCTTCGCCCCTACCTGCAGAGACTGTCATGTAGATCCTATCTTAATAAAGACACTTAATGAGTCACATCTGTTTGTGAGAGCCAACATGTGTCCAGCGGTCAATATAATACTTAACGTACTTCCTTTATTGGTTTTTAAAAAGCCAGAGTTTGCGCTCATCACTAGAACTGGTTTCATTGATTGAGGTAGGGGCTACTCGAGAAGCCATAACACCAGTGTTGAAACAAAGTTGCCTTTACCCAGATTTTACCAAATTGCCGATGCTAAGGTCCGCCTTTTTTAAATCAAGTACTGGACATCAATAAAGAATCATTCTTAGTACATGTTTTGTGTCCAAACATCTTATTGACTTAACGTTGAGAGAATCTACACGTATGAATGACAAAAAAGGCAAATGCTTCTTGTCAAAAGCTTTAGAATAGTGAAGTCCAAACTTTTTTTGAGCCAAGGTACACCTTGGTGGTAAGCCATAACCGAAACAAAACACAGCATCCGGTTAGTAGAAATTTCAGAATTTTTTACGCGGCACACTAGTGTGCCTCGGCACATGATCAGGCCATCACTGCATTAGTTTAGTTTATACTGACAAAATGAAAATTCCAACCCAAAATAATTTCTGCAATTCACACAAACAAAAAAAAAGGCAAAGAACAAAAGAAAATTTTCAACATTTTTCATTGAGCATTTAGTACTCTGTGATACTTCCATATTATTTCTCTCTATCAAGTATTCATACATAAAATATTATGAAGCTATGAATTGAGAATAAAGATCAAAAAGGAGTTCACCATCATTAAAAGAGATTGTAAAGTAACATGTGAGTACAAAATTATGGAAAGAAAATTCATTTTTACGATATATCGTTTAAAAATGAGTTGAGGGGTGGAAAAATCTTATCGTATGCCATTAGTGCCAGATGTTAATGACGCTATAATCAACTCTTTCAAGTAAGTCGAGAAACTTTTTTTTTACAAATAGATTAAAGGGCGATGGAGACCCTGAATGCTTTGATGTCTTTGCCATGACTGAATAGAAATAAAAAAGTTTTTTATGAAAAAGAAAAGAAGAAAAATCATAAATGCACAGTTCATAGTCATCAAATGTACACCATTTCGTATGAAAAAGTTATAAAAGGAACTTTATATGCGGTATGTATATTTGCAGTTCAAAAGTGCATAAAGAATTTAATAAAATAAATTCAATAATCATCCATGTGCATCGAATTGGAATGAAAAAAGATTTTTTTTTCTTTTGGTCTTTTCTTCATCAAAGTTTATTTTAAGGTGGAAACTTTCATGCGGAGATACTTAAGAGAATTACATGTTAAGGAAAATATTTCGTGTGCTGTGAAATGTCAACAAAATTTTATAATTTTTTATTGCTGTAATTTTTTTTGAGTCAACTTTTTGGAATATTTGGTTGATATTTCAGCAATTAGTCCTGTTTTTATAATTGAGAATTGTCATATCAACCAGGCAACGTTAAGTGGTTCTATGGAGAAGTTCACTAATAGCTTGAGTCAAGTTCCACTCTTTGGTAGCACAAAAGTTGTAAGTTCGAAACCTACTAATTCCAAATTTTCAATTTTTCAGAATTTTAGATGCTTAGTATACAAAATTGAAGCATAATTGTCATTTGAAGGAACATTAAATTAAAATGAATAGACAGGAACCTACAGGAACCTAAAATTTTAAGCAGCAATTGTCACTAAAACTTGCCATGCCTACAAAAATATTAGAATAGAATCAAAATTGATGAAAACCCAGATTTAAATATTATTTTGCTTGAGCTAAAGTCGTCAAGCATTTAAATTCATTCTAACCACGCACATCTTACTTTCAAAAGCATAAATTCCACTTCCTTTAAACACTTTAAAAATGCGCACACCAAAGGGTTGAAATTTCCATTTCTACTTCAATTCACAAACAAAAAGCTTTTTCTTTGCCTGTGAAAAAAAAGTATTTCAAGCCTCTTAAAGGTATCCAAGAGTTCATTGACGATTTTTTGAGTTCTTTCGGCACGTACGAACATTAAATTGAAAGTCATAAATTTATATGGTAATGATAAATGACACTGGCAATCAATTCTTCTTTCTATTCACTCACTCTCTTCCTTCTGTTATTCTATGCTGTATATGCATGGCATTTCTTATTCAATTTTTATCTTTAATAAAATATATTGTCGGTGTATATGGTTCACTAAGAATGAGGAGATCATGAAATATACATAAACACAGGAAGCAGACTCTAAGCAGCTACGACATTGAAATGAGAAATGTGATGAGGGTCTGAGATTGTGAAGGATTTATCAAAACAGAATATATTTATATACATACATAATCATTTAAATTAATATCAGTGGAACAATAAATACAGATCTTCTTTTCTATTATTCTCGTGTTGGACCCTTGATACAAGCTTTTTCTTTTGTGTGGGTATCTAAATGGCTTTTATGGTGTGACTGAATTGCTGAAGCGGGATTTGAAACTTTTTAATGGTTTATGAGTGGAATTTTTTTTGAATAATTGTTGAAATCGTGGAGATATTGAGTCCTTTTTGGCTTAAAGCATCAATAAAAGTTAAGTATTGGTAGAGAAGTAGCAGCTTTTAAGGATTTTTCAAGGGGAATACAACATGATGGGTAATTTTTCTAATTTTTCTCCTGAGTTTTGATAAAACATGGTCGACTTGCAAATAAATTGTGATCCATGACCTCACTTGGTCGAAAGATGGTCCATAGTATCTTTTAAAGTATTTATTGAATTTAAAAATTTGGCATGACAATTTAAGGTCGCCAATAAATTAGAATTTCCCAAACTGATAGTTACCAACATGCTCTATTAAAAACCCAAAACATCCATCCTCATTCTCCTTTCTGTTTTGACTTCTTTCATTTAATGCCATACTAAAGCACACATAATAAATGACAATAAATCACAATTTTTATTCATATATGTATTTATGTTTATGGTTTCACTGCAATTTGATTTTTTGTGGATTCTGCTGATGCTTCATATTATGATCTATGGACAAAATTTAATATTAATTCTCATGTGTAGATGCTATCATGTGGATTTTAATAATGTTTACTTTGAAAGTAAAAGAAGAAAGCTGTGGGAAGGATGGATAGTAATATGTAAGTTGTTGTCAGGATGGTTTTGAGACTAAGCTAATGCATCAATGGAACTGTACACCCAAAAAATCGCAAAATAATCAAGATTTTGGTTGATTTTAGGGATGAGACTATCAAGGGGAGTTTTAAGTCTTTTAAGCACTTCAACACATAGCTTATGAACCAAAATTGAGGGGCTTAATTCTCATATTTTGATGCTCATCAAAAATTAAGACTATTTTAAAGCCTAATGAGATACGTTTCTATTTTTATGACCTTGACAATGTGTAGAACTTAGATAAACTAAATTTAAGCAACAAAGAAAACACAAAAATTTCAGTTCTAATAGTTTTCATTTAGTTTGCATTTATTGTTCACAGCACTTTGCATATCCTTCAAAAAAAACACACACGTAGGATAAACTTATGAGCTTTTATTCGTAATATAAACAAAAGAATCTTTAATATAAATGCAAACTTCTCACACGTGTAAGGAACACATTACTTCTCATTCATATTGAATGATTTTAGCTTCATCAGGATGACACAAATGTGGATGATTAGGATTATATCCTTTTTGGCATTTATCTCCTTTTGTTTTGTAAGCAAAACTGTCAACCAAATTTCCAAAACTATAATTACAAACAACATAGAAATGATGACGCTTGTGTTCAGTCCAAAGTGTTGCTGCACATCCAATTTGACATGCACGATCATTCACAAGTTGTGTGAAATGTCCAACACTGCCACCATTACTAAGATGAGAAAGATGGTGATTTGATGCAGTTTCTCCTTCCATGTACCATTTGTTTATAGCTTTTTCGATCACAGCTTCTGCTGTTAGTGGACTTGAATCATATCCTTCGTATATATTTTGACCTACGGATGGGAAATTTGGATGATTTCGACATTTGTCATGTTCACCGTCGCATTTGTATGCATTAAGTCTTGCAAAATAGGCTAGAGTCGAGTCCCAAACCTTAAAATAATTTGAAAAAAATATTAGAATTGTCAGTTGATTTATACAAATATTTAATTACCATCGAACACATTCGCGCTGCTTTTCGAAATCCTCTATGATGCTTTCCAGCAGCAACAAGTTCTCTAATAGAGTTATGATGTTGTAGAAATACATCCTGCATATGTGAATCCATTGATACAAGCTCAATTCCATGTGGACAGTGAGATTTAAAAGTATCTCTTGCATGGCAAGCTATATGAGGCCCTCTTTTACATAGTTTCTCATCACAATAGTCAATTGCTTGTAAAGACACAAAAGAAATTGATAAAATTAAGAAAAATTTCAAGTACATCTTTAATTCACTTGAAAGTACGATCAACGTTGAAGTGATAATGTGAATAAGAAAAGAATTGATAATGAGAAATTCTGCATACTGTTTAATCAGGTGCTGATCATAAGTTGTTTGACACACTTGGTATTTATTCGAATAAAATATTGTCAATAGCATTTAAAGGCTACGTGAGTTTCTGCTTAAAATTTATTGCAATGTGAAAAAGTTCATTCTGTAAAATTAATGACACGTGGAAGTGTGCCAGAGCAATAGTCCCTCTTCCTGTCAAAAAGTTGTAAAGTAACCTTCCATTTTAAGTTGTTTATTATTTTTAAATCTCAATGTATCTTCAAGCTTCAAGATCTAAGAATTCACACATGGATGGATAGCATTTGAAAGTTGCCACAGGCATCAATTACATGAAATTGAAAACAATTTCTCCAATGGAAACAATCCGAAGCCACAGTAAACAAAATAATTCCTGTGAAAAAATGTTTTTCACTGCTGTTAAGAGCAACTAAAGTTAAGTGTCCCTAAAAAATTTCAATTATTTTCCATGAGAAATTCTCAAGAGATTCCACTGAAATTGTTTCCTTTGTTTAATTTATAAAGACATTCATTTCAATTTTAATGCAGATGTAAACCCCAGAAATGGACAAAAGATGAGCACCAAAATAAAATTCAATTTCCTTAAATTTGGTATAAAAACACTGAAGTAATGAAATAAAATGAAGAAAACAGGCGGGGGGCAAAGTAGCACAGAAATAATTGCAAATTACGTTGACTGATGATATTAAAATGAGGAAGAAGGAATGAATAAAGAAATATGCGCAACGGAAGCATTTTAATGTTTTATTTCCTCATTTCTTTTTTTAAGAGAATGAAAATTCAAGTAACGAGCCTTCAAATAAGTTGGGATAGAAGGTATGAGGGGTGGTTTGGTGGTTCTTATGGATCGGTATTAATTTTGTCTTGCATGTCATGTGATGTCAGTGTCAATTCCAGTTAATGAATTGTCAAGGATCATTTCCACACAAAATTTAAGCATATTCCATTCAAAATCACTCAAAGATCCATAAAACTTTTGTTGAAGCCTCCAAAATAATCTCTAACCAAGGCTGACCATTACATCCCACAGAAATCATCACGTCAAATATTATTCCATCCCACATCGCCAAAGTTAAAGCCCCACGTGAGTACCAGACTAAATAAACAGCCATCTTCCATTAACTGTACATTCAATTTTTATTGTCTATTCCTTATTATTGTTATTTCTTGCACTAATATTCGCACAAGTGGGACTCTTGTCGCTTCTTCTTTGTATTCAGTTACTTAACATTATCAAAAGGACGCCAAGGAGGATGAGAAAATGAATAAAATAAAAAAAAGTCGATGAGCATTTTCTTGCCCATATTGTAATCTCACGTAAGTAACGAAAAAGAAGCTCCGTATGTACGCAAAAAATATAAAATAAAATAAAAGAAAAAAAAAAGTTCTTCAATAAAGATTGATTGCGACACATTTTTCTCTCTTTTTTTCCTTTTATTCAGAATTAATGTCGGTAAACGGTAAAAGCATTGTGTTATTTATTGCCTCTTAAGAGAATGGCTGCTGATGCTGCCCTCCCGTCATTTTTACTCCTTGTTGTTGTTGAGTCTTTTAGAGAAGCTGATTTTTGATGAGATTTTGATCATTTTGACTGGCTTCGAATGAAACTGTTGAGTTGAACAATAAGACGATGTAAGCAGATGAACCTTGACGCTAAGACACCTAAACTAACTTAAATTATATTTGTATGTCTGTGTCAAAACGATTCAGTCTCTTATTAAGAATTAACAAGCAAAAAATCCATTCAACAGCACTTAAATAAATCTCAAGAGTATCATAATGCGCTTCAAATCCCTCAAAAACTCACTCACTCCATCTTAGTCCACTCCTATCTCTCTTTTCCACGAATATGAATAAAGAATAAGAGTAAGTGAATAAGGAAAATATTCCCGTTGAGCATATTTACAACTATAAATGGTGAAAAAGAGGAGAAAAATGAGTGTCATTTAGGTAACATTTACGAATGGTGATGCCTTAACTGCCTTATGTTGATGATGTGAAGAAGAACATAATAGGATGCGTATAAATATGTAATATGGGAAAGAGGATAGAATGAGGTCCATTTAGAAAGATAAAACAGTAAAGTTTTTAAATTATTTAAACGCATATCCATTACTGTCAATTAAGCACAAACAGCACTACGTGTATGTAATAGAATCTTATGTGTTTCATTTTTATGAGGCAAGTAAGTAAGAATCTGCTGATGTATTTTATGATATGGGCCAGAAGTGGATGTAATGGCTAGTAAAATTTATTGTTTTGATGCTTTTTAGATGAGCGTTATTGATGCCTTCCTGCTGTTGAATTAAAAATGAATTGGCTGCATTAAACTCAGTTGGAATCTATATTTTTCTACAGAGTCTTTAGTTGCTAGCATTCATCGGATGTACTTCATGTGAAATTCATCAAAACTAGTCAATTGTAAAATTCCCATCAACCAACTTGTTGTTAATTCCTTAAAATTCCCACATCAAAAATTATGAGAATTTTCAACCATAAAATTTCATTACGAAAAAATTCTCATACATTCAGAGCATTTCCCAACAACACCGACTGAGCGCAAAAAAAAACGATACAAAATAAAGAAATTAATCATAGATAAAGAAAAGTTTTGCCTCTAGAATGAGAAATAAGCAAGCAAAAGAAGAGGAAATTTTTTTTCTTTTCCATTTAATGACAAAAGTTTTTGCTTTTATTTATTTATTGCCCTAAAGCTATTGAAAGCAATTTTTCACCATCAAATTTTTTTTAACTCTGTGTTTAGAAAATTGTTCAAATTAGTGGGGAAATAATTTTTTTTGGCTTAAAGTATGTGGGCGCATTTTGATGGGAATTGATGTTGAATCTACAAGTTTTGGTGCTTATGGGGTCATTCACTTCTAACGTAAAGCTATTAAGTTTTTTATCCCAGCTCAAGCCTTTCTCTGACTAAAGTCTGTTGACTCATTATTGTAGTATTTAAAAATTCAGCTTTTGATGGGAATTGAACCTACTTTCTTATAAAATATGGGACAAGTCTGTGGTCTAACCATTTGAGCAGAGATACTATAACCTGGGAATGACAGATTTATCTTCATATACTTCGATACTTCAGGGGCTAATTTTAAAGGCTACCTAGGGTTTCTAGAAAGTTAAGAGCTACTCTAGAATCGAAAAGCGGTCTACTTAAAATTGCGGTTTAAATAAATTTTTAACTGTTGCTTGTCATGGTGCCTCAAGTAGACCTAGAAGCTGGCTTAAGACTTCATTCAGCTCAAATAACACATAACAAATCAGGAAGTCGATCCACACACAACAAGACAAACTGCAGTCATTAAATCCCTTCGTTTAACCCCAAAATGCCTTTAAAAAAGGGGAAAAAGTCTCTGTTAAGCACTTCAAATAATTCATGCCATTGATTTATTTAGTTCTTAATCAATTCAAAGGAATCAAATGAGAAAAGTTCCTTGCCTTTCTCATTCCACGATTAAGAAGGAAATGAGAGTGAAAAGTTCTTCTTTTTGCTATGCAAACAATCTAAGCTAAGAAAAAACAAAAAAAAAATTGAAGAAAAACGGAAGAATTCAATTAGGCATAACGGGGATAAATTGCTCACACGCAACTCTTCTATAATTTCCCTCTCCACCTCCTTTACCCTCGCCTTCTTTTATTCTATGACGATAAAAAATAGTAGACGAAAATCCCTAACCGTAATCTCCACCGGAAAATTTTATTTATGTGAAGCTAATGGAGACTTCGTCATTCCTCTTCATTTCCCATTCTTTGCTTTTATTATTTCCAAGCGCATTCTGGATTTCTTTTTTTTTGTTCGAGTGAAGAAAGTGCTTTTAGAGTTGCACATTTGTCAGACTGTTTATTCCAACACTAATGACGATTCAGAGTTCTTGGCTGAGACTTTCATGATGATTAGCTGCAATTATTTGTGGAATGTTATGTCTAGGATAGGAAAGATTGGTGATGGGGTACGAGCAGGGTTGGACGCCTTCGATTGTCCGTATTGATTATTGACATGTCAGCATTTGAATAGGATGTCAAAGTTGTCCCTACTTCTTCTGTCTAATGCTCTTTATCGGTGTCTAACGATGACTAGTAAAATTTTGGATCAAAATATGAACATTGGCTTAACCAATAAAGGATGTTTAAAACTACCAAGCAGAGTGAGGCTTGAAATGAGTCTTAAAATAAAAACAAATTCCATTTTACTTATTTCGAACAGTTGCCAACATTTTAATTCAAAAAAAATTTACAAAAATTTAAATAAATAAGCAAAAAGTTTCCACCAGACAAAACAATTATTCAACGATTAACTCACATCTACAAGATGAACAACGACTTGCCAAGAAAAAAAAATGTCCTTTATTCCTTAATTCAGCCAAATTATTTTCCTTAATGTAATTAAGCAGCGAAAAGAGTTTCTCGTTCCACAAGTTTTTAATTAGCACTAAATGCGTTGTCTTCATTATCCTTAAAAAGTGACACAACAAAAAAAAACTTGTTCCGCTCCTTCCAAGCGCCTCGTGTAATTCATGTTCATTCGGATAAAGTTTCTTTTTTTTCGCTCATTCTTTTTGTTTTTTATTTAAAAATTTATTGCAGATTTTTATTTCTGGCTGTAGCCATAAATCTCCATTCATTCTATATTATATTATAGTCCTACGCAGAACAAAAAGAGCTGCTTTCTTTTTCATTTTCAACCCATTTTGAGGAATGGCCTTTTTGGCTTTTTTTCTTCACATTATTCTCGGCTTTCTTTTGTGCTATTTTTATTTCCTCTTTGCGTCAAGTTTTGATTGTAAAATAAAGCTAGTAAAAAGAGTTTTTGGTGTTGAATTATTTAATTTTTCTGAGATTTTTGTTTCTGTTAATTTTATTATTGCTAAATGGAAAGAATAAATTCAGTTCTGTAGAATTTTGGTTTAATTCTAAAGCAATCACTTTCTGAGATTCAACCCATA